GTCCATGGAGTTCCATCGGTTACGCTAGGCTACACTACGGAACACCAGATCCATCACACCTGGATGAATAAAATATTCAGAAGGTCCATAAAAGGCGCAAGATGAAGAGAAGACCGGATTTCGTAAAACAATCTTTTGGAGTGGCTAGTCAAGAACAAGAGGGGTGAACCGATCGATGAGATCCAATGGAAAAGAGACAAGTGGGCCAGCCATACTGAGCACACTGGATTTCAAAGAGGCGTACACAAAACTCCCTGTAGACGTTACTTAATTGAGTTAGCAGGACCATCGTACCAACCAGGAATGTCAAAACGAGAGGATCCAACAGTATTTCAGTCGAAACTTCAGAGTTAGTTACACATGTAGTTTCAAAGATTCATCACATTCACTCCATAAAGACTTGCCGTAAGAATGGTGCCGACAGACAGATAATGACACTTCATCAAGATTCTGAGGAGGAGAGATCTTAGTAAGTATGAGGGCCACAGAGGCACAATACTACAGTCAGTGCAACAGTAAGCTTCCAACAGTGTCAATAAATGGAACCAAAGATTCAGTATACGTCCAATTTTTTGAGTACTAAGTGAGCTTTCGTAAAACAAGCAACATTATTGGATGCTGGGGACGAGACTGATGAAACCCTTCGCAATATGTGTGGTAAAAAAACCAACAGTCACTACAATCAATCCTATGCAAACCGAAGGAAGAAGTAACAGAAGAAAAAACCGAAAATCATCTACAAAATAGATTGTTACAACTGAGAAAAACACTACATCGAACAAAGCGGACTCCTTCATATTTACCTACATTAACATCCATCAATAATCAAACGCCATGACATGTCACTTGCATCAATGCATGTGGACAACTGTGGACACAAATTCGACTAGAAAAATGTTGAGATCTTGGACAGAGGCAATCCTAAGAACATCAAAGAATGTTTAGAGGCTTGGCGCTTAGGTCAATCAGCAATCAACAAGCGTTGAAATCACCCAGTCAGAAAATTATAGACAAATATAGGACCAACATTCAAATCAATGGGAGATATAACCAAAATAAAAGGTAAAGTGACAGATTTGAGGTCAAAAGCAAACAATCAACATTGAGTTCTGCAGAACAAGCTGTGAACCACATGTGGAGAAATTCGAGCACTTAACTTTCATCTGAAGTTTGTGCCTATGATGTCGTTCAGAAGAACGATGAAAGCTCCACTAACAAATCATCAAGCTCGGAGAACAAAACTCCACCAAAGATGACTCTGTTCGAATGCATGGAGCAGAAACTTGTACGCCTACCACAATTATCGTCGAAATTCCCAGGTATTTGTGAACGGCTATCTACGCTAATTACGTCAAATCCATTGAACAGAGACGATCGAAATTACCTCGCAGACGAGGACAATCCAACTGCCAATGTACGAGGTTAGAAAAAGACTCTGTATGTGGACAGGTCACATTTTGCTCAAACCATTAACTTGTAGCGTGGTGTCGAGTTGAGATTAACTATGAACACCGCTACCAGGAAACACGTGCCAGATAAATCAGAAGGCGAGGGTTGGACGTAACCAAATAGATCCATAAAATCCCCGAGAAGCCAAATATCAGAAGACAGTTAATGGACCAAGTCGAGGTTTATTTGCTGGCGATCTCGTGGCATCGAAAGGATACCGAGATCGTGCCAGGATACAACCTTGGTTACAGAAGGTTGTAACAGCTTAGGTTGTTTGGTTAAGAGTTGACCCCAAACAACCAAGCATATGCCAAAACAGTATTGTTCAAGTATTCATCCACTTCCTTGTTTTGTATAAGCGTTATATTCCCTATTATCTTATATTGAATGTTGAGAGCCTTTGTTTGTCTGAACAGATAATCCCACGCTCCACTGTCATCGCGCTGAGATCGAAATAAAGACCTATTCACTACTTCTCTGGTTTCTTCTATCAATAGCACGAGGGTTACTTTGAGGCACGAAATTGGTGAGCCCGACTGGTTAAAAACGCCTGGAAACCAATTGCTTTCTTCTCGAAAAGACTCGCTCCAGCCGAAACAAGGTATTCTACCTTCGGGCGAGAACTTCTTGCAATCTACCTGACCATTAAACACTTCCGACACATGTTAGAAGGTAGGGAATTTATAGTCTTTACGGATCATAAACCACTGACGAATGCATTGAAAGCGAGAGCCGATAAATACTCACCTCGAGAAGTCCGACACCTTGACTATATATCACAGTTCACAAGCGATATCCGACATGTCAAAGGTCAGGACAATCAGGCGGCAGATGCTTTATCTAGGCTAGAAATGAACGTGCTACAACAGTCCACAGTAAACTTCGAGACGTTGAAAAACGAACAAGAGCAGGATCTAGAATTACAAAACCTGCTTAAAACAAACAATTCAAGTCTTAATTTAAAACAATTCCCATCACCTGTCGATGGTATTCTAATCTACTGTGACACGACCAAACCAATTCCGCGACCTTTCGTTCCCAAAAGTATGCGAAAGTTGATATATAATAACTTTCATTCTTTGTCTCATCCTGGCGCAAAAGCTTCAATTAAACTAATCAATGCCAGATATATATGGCCGAATTTACAGAAGGATGTACACAAATGGGTTAGAGAGTGTTCAGCATGTCAACAATCAAAGATTAATCGTCACACAAATTCACCCATAGGTGTTTTCTCGCAACCAGATGCACGTTTTGCCCATGTGCATATCGACTTGGTAGGTCCTTTACCACGTTCAAACGGTTTTAATTATCTTTTTACATGCATAGATCGATTTACCAGATTCCCTATAGCCATCCCGATAGCGGACATCACAGCAGAAACAGTAGCCAAAGTCTTCATGCAGAACTGGGTAACCATTTTTGGTACACCCATAACAATAACGACGGATAGAGGAGCGCAATTCGAATCCGAACTATTTAATAACTTGGCTAAACTTCTAGGCTCTAATAGGATACGCTGCACTGCATATCATCCTCAGGCTAATGGGATGGTAGAACGTTTTCACCGTCAGCTAAAAACCGCCCTTATATCTCACTCAAACCCCAATCAGTGGACAGAATTCCTACCATTAGTTATGTTGGGAATACGAACATCTGTCAAAACTGACGCACAGTGTTCAGCTGCGGAACTGGTTTTCGGAACAACTCTGAGACTACCAGGTGAATTTATTAACCCTAATACTAACAGTCAAAAACTTAATTTAGAAAATTATGTAGATCAACTACGGGACCACATGTCTAAACTTAAGCCGATTAATACTCGTGAACAATCGCGCGCCGTATATATACCTAAAGACCTAAGCAATTGCACGCACGTCTGGATAAGATGTGACAAAATAAAAGCACCACTCAGTCCTCCATTTGAAGGTCCTTTCAAAGTCGTCTCAAGAAAATCTAAATATTTCGTGATAGAAAAACATGGAAACATCGACACAGTAAGTATAGATAGGCTAAAGCCGGCTTATCTAGATCATGAACCACCATACGTGTTGTTAGATCGTTTAACTGACAAATCCATTACGGAATCGAAATGTAAAAATAATAAATCTTTACAAATGACTAAAACGGTTCGCTGGGCACATCCAATTAGTCAGTCAAGGATGTTGACAGTTTCGGCTGCAGGATAAAATCTAACCACGCAGCTAATCACACCCTGCATCTACTTTAAAATTTTTTTTTCATCATTCCGCCTCACCGACAACTCCCCAGACCTTTTACTTTTGATATATACGTGTTATGTTAAGTTTTTTTTTTTGAATACTGGGCACAAGCTAGGTATTCCGAAACGATGGCTGAGGATTTTAATCAAACTCATACAACTAACACTGGCAAACACAACCAATTCAAAAAGCAACCCAGAATACCAGTCCGTTCTGGAGGCCAAGCACTTACATGGGACAGAACAATTATCAATTACATTTATGTATTTCCATTTTGTATCTTATTATTTTATGCAGGCAGTGGAGCAGTTCTTCAGGTTTGCTTGATTTTCACCATTACCTTTGAAGTAGATTCTTCTTTACTTTTTACTTGAGGGCGACTAAAGAGGCAGGTGAGTAAACACCTGATAGCCGGTCTGAGCACGGAAAAATCGTACCTCACCAACATGGTGTTGGGTAGCCCGCTCGCGGCACTTCCTCAGTTATTCTTATTCCACATTCTCACACTGTCTCTTGAAAGCACGCAGCAAACCGTCGGCGATAGTTCTAGAAGAAATCACATGCTACAAAATAAGATGACAAGCTAGTAAATAAGAGACATCCATGGACTATCGTTGACAGCGTCAGTAGTCACTGATTGTAAGTCAAACAGTGAGCGAGTTGATAATTTTCCCTTGGGATGAGAAATAGAATTAAGGTGTTTTCGATAGTTAGGTTAATCGAACCGACGTTCCTACGGAAGTCGATTCTAGGGGGAAGCTAATGTAACAGCTTAGGTTGTTTGGTTAAGAGTTGACCCCAAACAACCAAGCATATGCCAAAACAGTATTGTTCAAGTATTCATCCACTTCCTTGTTTTGTATAAGCGTTATATTCCCTATTATCTTATATTGAATGTTGAGAGCCTTTGTTTGTCTGAACAGATAATCCCACGCTCCACTGTCATCGCGCTGAGATCGAAATAAAGACCTATTCACTACTTCTCTGGTTTCTTCTATCAATAGCACGAGGGTTACTTTGAGGCACGAAAAGGTAACCGAATTCGAGCGAAGTTACAATCGAAGTGTAAGCGAAAGAATGGAAGCACAAATTAGCTGTCATTAGCACAGTCAAACAAAAGCACATTAAAACAAACACTGGTACAGTTGGTTATAATAATAATTGTTTTTATTAAACCAGTCGTGTTCTCGTGATAAACGTGAGTCACTACAAACTCATCACAAAGCAAGAAGTGACTCAATCCCCACAGCATTAATAAACCAGGCTGATCACGAAGCACATGACACCGAGAATCAGAGACTAAGATTGAGGCCACAAATACCACTTGTACACAAGTTGTAAGGACAACACAGCACAGAGTTGGTGTTAGAACTTTGGTCATCGGTCTACGCTCTAATATAAGTAACAGCCCGGGGTTCACGTGATCCAGTGCTACAGGTCAAGGAGGCTCGTTGGTCAAAATCTGCTTCAATTCCGTTCACAATTATTTGGAACACTTGAAGACCGGCTCAGCGATGTTTTGTCGCGCCTTATTCAAATCTCCCAAATCATTGTTTACGATTGGATGTACTGTGATGGTACGTTGTGGTCTCTCTAATTTCTTCCTTAAGTCTTCATCCCACAAGTCTTGGAATTCAATATATGAATTTACTGTTAAAGATATCAATGGTGTGGATGTCTCCTTAGAGAAATACCGGTTTGTTCGATATTCTTCTTTTATATAGGATGATAATTATTCGTTGTTTAGTGGTCACGTTTGTCTAATTGTTAACGTCGCTTGTAAGTGAGGCGCAACGGACAAGAACTATCGCCAACTCCAGGAGATGCACACTCGACTGGTTGGCAAAGGCCTCCGTATATTAGCGTTCCCTTGCAACCAATTCGGCGGACAGGTATGTAACACTTAAACCAATGTTATTTGCAGGAACCCTGGGCGGAAGCGGAGATTAAGAAGTTTGTGACTGAAAAGTATGGCGTCCAATTCGATATGTTTTCCAAGATAAAAGTCAATGGGTCTGACGCTGATGATCTCTATAAATTTCTTAAAAGTAGACTACATGGTACCCTAACAAAGTAATTGTTTTTTTCTTTACTAATGTCGTAGTGATATTAAATGGAACTTCTCTAAATTCCTTATAGATCGTCAAGGCCAACCGGTTAAAAGATATTCTCCTACAACTGCCCCAAATGTGAGTTGCTGAATTTTCAATATTTCTATTTTGTTATCAATTCTGACTGTCTAAATAGATAGACATAACATACGATAAATTGAAAAAATCAGCAACCCACCCTACACACTTCGATTTTTTCTTAACTGTCTATTTTGTTGTTTCTTATGTATGTGACTTTCAGTCACTTAATGGGTGCGTTAACTTCCTCCCGTCTAATGACATGCAGACGTAAAACATGGCTCATAAACAAATCACTTAAGGTCACCATATAATGCACTCCACAAGAAATTTGTGTTAAAACAAACATTAGTAATATATGCTAACATCAGAAATTGAGGAGCGAAGTATTCCGCCTGGTTGATCGCGAGTAATGTCGTTACGTTACGTCACGTAACCTATAGTTCCTGTGGATTTGAAGCTGCCATTAAGAAATTTTACTCATTTGAATATTTAGCAGGTTAGCGACCTCGCTGAACATTAGTTGTTTAGATGATTTCATCAATTCGTTTCCAAACTAGTCTCATCTCAATAGTGGTTATACGTCAAAGAAACCAATCTGGACACAGCATATTACCTCACAGCTGGTACATGTTGATAAAGTTACCAGTTAATTGTCATGAATGACAAAATGAAACACCAACTTTAGTTACTTGTTAGTTTTATGGTACGTGAAATATAGTCCATCGCTGCTTAGTTACTTCAGTTATTGGTCATGACAAACTTCATAAATGAAATTCGAGTTTAAGTTAACTATCTTATATTGCACTATATGACGTCATAGACCAAACGATTTTCCGACTCAGTCCTGAAGTTATGAAATAGTTATCTGTACGGAAGAAACTAGAACTTCAGGAACGAACCTTCGTGTCTTTACTGAGTAACCTTACTTCACAATATTGTCATTTCGGTTTTGTATGTCTTGGTCTCCAATGTGACAGTCATTTTCGTCAATAACACTATTGGGTTAATAGACGTCCACACTCGTGACTGTTTGGACTGCAGTTAGTTAACTGCTACGTCTATACAACTAGTTCTTCTAAAGTTTGATTTTTCTCAGAAAACTTGCATATCGCCTTGTAATGGTCTGCAAGCCTGAAATTAGTTGTACATCAATGTACTACATGCACTAGGTATGATAATTACGGTTTGCGTGGGAACGTACAAAACTTCTATACGGTAGTCTTCATCTTTCCATTTCCTGGTTGTGACACCGGTTAGCGCGTTTAGCACTTGGATGTGTAGCGGTTATTGAACCATGTATCAATCCAAGCACAGTTTGTGTCAAGCAATAGTGGAATCCTCGAGTACTGCAGAGTTCAAGGGCTAGGAATAACTTATTTCCTCACATTACGTAATTCATATATATTGCAGATCTAACTTATTACAAGTGATTTTTTTCTCTTCATTTACCTGCCCTGTGTCTGTTGGGGCAGACTTATTGATTGATATTGGCGAGATAATCGCAAGCTGTGATTACGTGGAGTAACCCACTTCTTGTCTGGCATCCGTAAATGATTTTTCTCCGATCTCACCTTTTCTATTTGTAATACATTTTTAATGTACTGTACTTCACATAGGGTTGATTCTGTAGTTTGTAATACTGATATGGAGTGTGGGAAATTGAACTAGTGTATGTCTACACCAAACAATTCCTTGGCCCCCTGAATGCCCTGGTACGGCCGAGAGTGGGGAGAGTCCGCTCTCCCTCTCGAAATACTCTCACACGGCCACGCGTATACAGCCTCTGCCAGGGAAGTCCTACTCATTGCCTTCTCGTGGCGGGGGTGTTGTTTACGAAAATGAGAGGACGAAAAGCGAATGTCCGGCGCTTTAACCGGATTCCCAAATCAATGGTGCACATGGGCTCCAGTATCCTGCGGGAACGAATGGCGTATGAACCAATCGTTGGTCACCGGCTACCATGGGACTGCATCTCCTTACGATGCCCCACTGCCTTGTGGGTTAGACCCTTAGGTCGAAGGCTCGGGGAGTGGCCCCCTAAGATAACCACCTGCTTCGGTTTGGGCACCCGGGCAGTATCACAGCCCACACACAAATGATGAACTCTTTACGTCTATGGAAATTACTTTTGTCGCTTTGAAAAACAAACAATTGATTCAGATTATTATCATTACAACTATTGTCATTATTAATACTAATATTATTATTACTACTATTATTGTCATTATTGTTATTATTATCATTATTATTATTATTTTCCACATTATTCACCTTCTTTTATACTTATACAGCGGCTCGTCTTTGGTGGAATTCCGACTGTATCTAAACGTTCTCGAGTCACTGTCCGGTTGAAAATTGTATGTTACCACCGAATACGAGGACTGAAGCAGATTTTCTGAAACCACGTGCACCATTCAAACTGGCTGCCTTCAACGTTCGCACATTTATGCAGGTCGGACAACAGATAGGGTTGGCTATGTCTTTGGAAAGTCTTAATATCGACGTGTGTTGTCTATCCGAGACCCGTATTCAAGACTCTGGCGAAGTACTACAAATTCGATCTCCGTCTGTCGCTTCGAAAAGCTTGTTTTACGTGCGCTTATCCGGGGACCCTGTGGCATCTTCGTCTGGTCTTGCTGGCGTTGGTGTCGCACTAAGCGCTAGAGCTGAGGCAGCACTAGTCGATTGGATCCCCATTAACAGTCGGTTATGTGCTGTTAGATTAGAAAGTTCCATGAAAGTGAGAAGAAATCGGCGTGAGAAACGATGTCTTTTCGTCATCTCCGCCTATGCCCCGACAGATTGCAGCCCGGATGCAATCAAGGATGAGTTTTACCACCAGTTATCAGTTCTTCTCCAGAAAGTGCGTTCGACAGATATTGTAGTACTAGCCGGAGACTTGAATGCTCAGGTCGGGCGTCTAGGCACAGAAGAGAGTCGTTTAGGTGGCCGATGGGGACTCGTTGGTCGCAGGTCAGATAACGGGGACCGTCTACTGCAACTTTGCACAGACCACAACCTGTTTCTGGCTAGCACTAACTTTCGGCACAGTCATCGCCGATGTGCCACCTGGCGTCCTCCCTCTGCATCTCAAGCCTGGACTCAGATTGATCACATCGCGATCAGCTACCGCTGGCGTGGTTGTGTACAAGACTGCCGCTCCTTTTGGAGTACCTATCTGGACTCTGATCATGCCTTGGTCTGCGCCAATCTTGCCTTACTTTTCAGTGGACAACGAAGTGAACGCCATCAACGGATTGATGTTAGCAAGCTGGTTGCAACTTCTGTTGCAAGTAAGTATCGAACCGAGCTAGCCTCTAGGCTAGCTACCACTCCACCGAAAAGTATAGATGAGCATTGGTTGCAATTGCATGACGCCATGAAAATGGCGGGAACAGTCAGTTGTGGGTTTGCGAAACGTCCCGCTTTTAAGCACTGGGTTTCTTCTGGTTCCTTACAACTCATTGAAGCCCGTCGGTCTACTCCGGGTAACCGTGAGTTTGACCATAAACGAAGGATGTTACGTAAGGAAATCGGGCAAAGCTTGCGTAAGGACCGAGAAGCCTGGTGGTCGATGCGTGCTAATGAGCTGGAAGCAGCAGCTGCATCTGGTAACTACCGGAAGCTCTTCCAACTCATCCGAGCCACTGGCAGCAAGAAGTCTGGTGTGAGTGAAACAATCTGCGAGGATGATGGGATGCCAATCACTAACATCCATCGACGTCTTGGACGATGGGCAGAATTTTTCGAAGGGCAGTTCAACTGGCCTGCTGCTCCGGCAACATCGGTCAGACTGTCCTGCCCCCCATGGCCGGTGACGACTGATCCACCAAATGAGGAGGAAGTCCGCAAGGAACTCCAACTCTTGAAGCGTTACAAATCACCTGGCCCAGATGACTTACCTCCGGCTCTTTTTAAAGATGGTGGTGACTTTTTGACTAAGGAATTGACGACGTTGTTTACAAAGGTTTGGGAACTAGAGAGTGTACCAACGTCATGGAATGAGTCGATAGTTGTCCCTATCTTTAAAAAGGGTTCACGTCGTTCTTGTAACAACTATCGGGGGATAAGTTTACTTCCGATTGCGTCCAAGCTATTGGCTTCCGTCATTCTTCGTAGGTTGTTCAAAACCCGAGAAAGATTGACTCGCGAGGAGCAGGCTGGGTTTCGTTCTGGTCGAGGATGTATTGATCATATCTTCACCCTTCGCCAAATGTTAGAACACCGCCATACTTTTCAAAGGCCAACAATCGTAGTGTTTCTTGACATCAGGGCTGCCTTCGATTCGTTGGATAGGACTGTTCTCTGGGATTGTCTATTGAAGAAGGGTGTGCCTGAGAAGTTTATTAACATCCTAAAAGCCCTGTATAAAAACACCTCAGGCAGAGTGAGGGCATACAACCACCTCTCTCCATTGTTCCATTCGAGCAGTGGGGTTAGGCAGGGTTGCCCAATCTCACCATTCCTCTTCAACTTTGCCATCGATGACATTCTGGAAACAGCTCTGATGAATGTAAGTAATGGTGGTGTGGATCTGTTGCCTGGAGAAAGACTTCTCGACCTTGAGTATGCGGACGATATTGTCTTACTGTGCGATAATGCCCAAGGCATGCAATCTGCACTTAATCAGTTGGCAATCAATGTCCGTAGGTATGGTATGTGCTTTGCACCTTCGAAGTGCAAAGTACTTCTACAAGACTGGCAGGATTCTAATCCTGTACTCACCCTGGACGGTGAGCAGATAGACGTAGTTGAGAAGTTCGTGTATCTGGGTAGCTGCATAAGTGCTGGTGGGGGTGTGAGTGATGAGATCAATGCACGAATAGTGAAAGCCAGAGCGGCTTATGCCAATCTGGGCCATCTATGGCGCCTTCGTGATGTTAGTCTGGCTGTAAAAGGCCGGATCTACAACGCGTCGGTGAGAGCAGTTTTGCTCTATGCTTGTGAAACCTGGCCTCTCCGAGTTGAGGACGTTAGACGACTCTCTGTGTTCGATCATCGCTGTCTCCGAAGGATTGCTGACATTCAGTGGCAACACCATGTCAGTAATGCAGAGGTTCGGCATCGTGTGTTCGGGCACAGAGATGATAACTCAATTGGTGTCACCATCTTGAAACATCGACTTCGGTGGCTTGGACATGTTCTCCGAATGTCGTCCCAGAGAATTCCACGTCGTGCATTATTTGCCGACTCTGGGACTGGTTGGAAGAAGCGGAGAGGTGGTCAGTGCATGACATGGTGTCGTGGCATGAAAGAAAGCTGCAAAGGACTGGCTTGTGTTGGTCCTTCACGACTCCCTGGCTGGGGTCCGAGAGATGGTGCTACACAGTGGCTAGAGACGTTATCAGATATGGCTCAGAATAGAAGCCAGTGGCGATCCTGCTGTAACCTTTTACTTTCTTCATAAAAAGTGGTTGTCTCTCCTTTACCTGAAAGATTTCTTCTGATTGTACCTCTTCGTCATTACTCTCTTTTTCTTTTGCGTTCCTTAGTTTTTTTTTCTTTTTACTTCTCTTCGAATTCCCATTGTTTTGTGTGGCGCATATATATTGGCGCTCACTTGTACCAATATTTATGTGTTCAAATAATAATAATAATAATAACAATTCCTTGATTTTGACCGTCTACCGTATTAGGTGGTTAGTCCCAAGTATGATGCTTAATGTCTAATAGTGACAAATTCATGAAACTGTCACAGTTTTATCGACAAGTAATCACCTTTTAGTTTTAGGATTTCTGACCAAACTTTTAATTTTTTGTAGGATATTGTAGGAGATATCATGGAGCTTTTGGAAAAGAAGTGATCAATGGAACTTTTGAGCTTTGAACAAATTCTCGCTATATGACGATGGCAATCTCAAATGTTCACTGATTGCCATTTGATGAAATCAGTTTTGTGTGCACCTGATTGCAGAATTTTGTTTACCTTGCTCATATTTTTCATTGAAACTACTTCTCAGAATAAATGTGTTATCTATAATTGAATGACTTGTACTTCACTGGACTTACTTACGAGTTAACTGAAATACTTCTCATCGCACTTACCAAGCAATTCTATTTCAGAAGTAAACAATAGCGGTTGGGCTGTTAAAGAAGCCGGTGCATGTTTGCGTTGTTTTCTTGTAAGCGCTTATTATTAATAAGAAATATCAGCCCTGTGGTATGACATAGTCTATCCAATTTACCCATCTGATCTTAGTGTAAGCTCTTTTTCTGAATGGGTCTTTAAACTGGCCTAACAATCTAAGGGTTCGTGCAAAGTATCTGAGAGATATACTTCCGTTTGCAATGTTAAATGCGGATATCCGTCCTAACAATTGGTCTGAAACTTTATTTTGCTACTTTTATTTAACCGCATATCAAAAGACGTTGATTACACCAAGAGAAATGAATTTCGAATATCACTAAGAACTCCACCGTCTAACTGTGCGTTGAAGGGCAGGCTACCCAAATATTGTCAGATTTAAGGCCGTGAACATGATACGATCTTTGTACTATCAAAGTGGTTGTTATCGTTATTACGAAGAAGACAAAAGCCTGTATCTACACAGGTGTTCGTTTTGGGAATGGTGATATGACACGAAACCGACTTCGGGACGGCAAATGTTCAGGTTGTATTAATTTACAGCACAGTTGTGGAGTCAACGCAGTCGCCAAATTGAAGATTTTCGACAGCCATGTCCATTTATTGTTGTTTCTGAATGACTGCTTGGATTCGACAGCATTGCAGTCCGAGCAACCAAATGCCTGGGAACATGATACTGTGCACTATTTGTGATCTGTTATTAGTCGGAACACTCGTGTCTCCGGATGGTGGGTGAATTAGTGCCGACGGTGACATGGCTGATAAGGTCGACCTGTGTGTATATTGAATATCAGATCAGTTTGTGTCAACCTATGGCACCGGCGCCTTCATGATGTTAGTCTGGTTGTAAAATGTCGGGTTCAAAACATCGATGGGATCAGTCTCGATGTATGGTTTTTAAGCCTGACCCCTCCGATTTGGTATCAGATAACTCTGTATGCGGTCATAGTTGTCTGATGGATTGCTGACACTCAGTAGCAATACCATGTCGGTGATGTGGAGGTTCGACGAAGTCTAACTGGGTACCCGGTTACATAATTCAGTCGGAGTCACCATGTAGAGGAAAAGGTTCCGATAGCTCGGACATGTGCTACAAATGCTGTCTCAGCTATTTCCATATTGTGCTTTATTTGCTGAGGCTGAGACCTATTAGAAAAGCGGATATGGAGCCCGGCTATGAAAAAAAGCTATATAAGACTGGCATCTGCTGATCCATTCACAAATTCCTGGTTGGGATTCCTGATGTGATACAACTCTGGCTTGAGGTGCTGTCAGACATGACAACCACTTCTGCTGATGAGGTCAATAGAAGTTATCAATGCACAATTATGGTTAAATTGGGTTATTACGTTCCCTGGACTTCACTTATCAGCAGCACTTAATTCAAATAAGGCGACATTTCTAAAGGGTTCAAAACCACAGGTTGTTGTTTAGGTGTCAATGTCAAGGTTGGACTTGATAGTTTCAAGTAAATACAGCATTGAGTAGAAAGTTAATAATAAATATGTTTTTTGTTATTTCCAAATGAGTAGAAAACTGTATTTCCGACGTTTCGTGACTTAATATTAATCCACTTCTTCAGAGTAAATAACCAACCGAAAAAAGATTGACACAACTTTAAATAATACAAAGGAAATAACCCCATTTACTGTTTAAACTTGTGTTAATTGCATTTCGGTTATTTATTTACTGTGAAGAAGTGGCTTACATTAGATCACGAAACGTCAAAAATACAATTCTCTACTCATTGGGATATTCACAAGAAATATACCTATTATTTAGAGGTTATTTTTTTGTTTGAGTAATTCTTTTTGTATTTTAGAGAATAATTTTCTTAGTTATTCTTGGACGTATTAATAATAAATTGAAGTACATATTATTTTATCTGCATGCTCCAATGACCTCGGCTTTTCATTGTGTAAAAAAAGAAAACAAACTAACTATGTGTACTTATATTTACAGAGTAAACACAAGTCTTCATTATTGATTTGTTAAGTATAAATATTATGTACTTTTTAATTAGATAAAACTATTTTTATGCACATTAATTGCTCTTATAATTTACATGTTAGAACACACACACACTGTCACTAATTATCTGCGTTATTTAATACATTTTAACAAGTGGAAAATATATTGAGATAAAATGAGATAATCATCATATTCATAATCAATCAATCCATAATCAAATTGTTGTTATGATCAGTCATTCAACTATACAAACCCGACAATATCATGTTGGTATATGTTTGTTAATAAATCTGAAAAAATGACGGAAAAAAGAAGTATTTTGATGAAGATTGAATTCTATCTAGTATAAAATAATTATCATTATTAATTCACTTTACCAAGAATATGTTCTATGTACTTTATTATAAGCTACAATTTGTGCATGTGTTCACACATACAACAGGGTAGTAGCACTTACTAACTGACTACTTAAACCATAGTATGCTGAGAAGAGTCATTCAAACCCATGGCTTTTAATGATTAGAAGTTAGATTATTTAACCTTTAAGTCATTGATTTAATTGTAAATTCTAATCAAAGTAACGGTTTATTGTTTATATTAGATATTGTTTAAATCTATGTTGATTCAGCAATATACTAAGATTAGTAAACCAGGTATATTTCATGTGTTAAATGTGTCTTGATTGTGGTGACTAGCACATGATTTTGAATTTCAAACATTTTATTATTCCTTGGTTAAATATATATCTGAAACAATGTGTATAGGTGATTAGATCACGTGGATACTAAGTTAGAAGATATCATAAAATTGGCAAGCTTAGGAGTTCCTCAAACAGTAATGAGAGTTTTGTAATCATCATCAGATCAGATTAAAAAACAATAAGCACCAAATTAAGTAAAATTTTTCCACTTCTGGAAAATAGTTAATGCTGCTGGACTTCTATACATACCGTCCGCGGTTAGATTTCTAAGATTTATATCGAATCTCACAATATGAATTGGTGGTGTCTTACAATAGACAAACAGTGGTATTTACAATCTTGTACAAATCTCTTGAGAATATGTGTTTCACATGAAACACTGATGGAAAAACATGACTTTAATCGATAGTTAAGATCTATCATTTTGTTTCAATTGTCATAACGTCAATAATATCTATATTTACGCTAATTATGACTATAACAACAGGATACAAACTGACTGCTGAAATTTATAATACACAAATGAGCTGGGGGTATTTCAGGGCTTACGAACTATATAACTTTATTCCTCGATTGTTTATGGTCATTTATTTTCAGATGAGTAATATTAAGTAAAGTCATGGATGTTCTTAACTACTCTACTAAATCAAAAACACTACGCATTTTCGCAATTCAAATACACATACACACCAGGAAATAACGACACTGATCAAGTGGTAACAGATGGATTATTTTTGCTTTGAGTTATGCGCAAATTCGTATAGATATTTGCAGATTTATACCAAGGACTGGCTTTATCTAAACAACCAATGAAAACAAGGGAACTAGGAACAACTATTTTGTCCTATTGTTGGACTCATCGACCGTATCTATCTTATCTACCACCCCACTCACAACTATATCGGGTGTGAGACAGATATCACCAGTGAGAATGGGTGATGGCCATTCAATATCTCAAAGTATGGATGTGAATTACGAAGTAGAAACTCAGTGGTTTGAACATTAAGCGATCGCTGCTAACCTTGACGATCACGGGTTCACACCCCTGAGGGATCGCGGATACAAACTACTGGCGAGTCCCTTACCCGAACGAAATACCTTCCAACTGCTTCCTGGTCATCAATGGTCATCCAACTGAAGTCGGTTCATGACAAAAAATTAGAATTTTCAATGTTCTCTAAAACTCTTATACAATCGTGAACATTTAATTCACTAATATTAAAGATGATGTTATACGGTACAGGAATGGAGTCTGACTGATTGCCTAGTGACCATCAGTTTAATGTCGTTCTAGTTGATTGTTGATCACAATAATAATAGTTTGAACTCCCCAATATGCATTTACATGATCGCTCAGTAATATTATTTCAAAACTTATGCGGTGTAAATTTGATGATAAGTCAATTGTCCGGCCACCTCAGTTATATTTAGTAATAGTGGCAATCAACATAGTCGTTATGGCAGAAGACAGTGGCTTGAGAGTGTACAAGTAAAAGCAGGTTACATTGCATTTTAATTGTCAATTCCACTTGCATCTTTTACCTCTATTTCCTTCTCATCCGGTTCGTTTTGTGTACTACATCATGTTACTCACTAATATTCAGTAGCTAAAGGCATTTTCAATCAATTTCGTACATAAGAAGCATAATATCCCTTCGTTGTTGAGTTGAATTTATGGATATGTTACATAAACTTGTGACTTTCAGTCAACTTATTGTTACAATTGTGACAGTTACTTCGATTTCTTGTGTAGTCATCAAAAATTTGTTACGGCATGATAGTTTTAGTATTTTGTGCTATTAGTACTCGTTTCGATTGTTGGTTGCACTGTGGTATTGACAAAACTACTGGCTATCAAGTAGATTATCGTATGTTTTGGTAAATAATCCCCATACAGCTATTCCAAGAACCTCTTCATCTCTGAATGCATATGCACGCGGTAAGCACCATAGAAACCTCATGTACTGAGGCTTGTAAATATATTTCTTATATTGTCATTATTAATACTACCGTATTTTACAAAAAGCTACTGTTTTCGTTCCGGGATTTCAACACATCACTTAGTCGTTTGGTCGGAAACACCAAACGAAATTAACCGTAATATTTTCGATTAAATAAAAATTGAGAACAGTTACGTCACATTAACTTCACTTACTGTTCTGAAAATGATCAAATAAATATTTCAAGTTATACAACGCATGCTTTTCTGGCGTCAGATATAAATTAAATCTTGAACCCAAAGACATGATGTTACGCTTTAGTATGCAAATTGCTTGGCTGTAAAAAGCAAGATGAGATTACAAGGGAATATTTAAATACAATAGTGAGTGTACGTGGTTGTTCCATATCTTAATTAAATCTACAAAGTTTAACTCTGTACATAGGCAAACAGTATTAATCGACATTACGAAAGTAATAGAGCAAGAATAAATGTTACTTCCACATAATTCTATGAAGGATTTGACAGAAAACTCGATCACTGGTTCCTTATCGCTCTGTAAACACGATGCCATTGAGTAACTAGGTCTACATAACCACTTTAAGTCAATCCTAAAGCGAGAAAGCCCAAACTTTATCCAATTTCATCGGTAGATTGTCGCCTTACTCTTAATCTGGTTGACTCGCGCGTGTGCCATAGAAAGTACACAATGATAAGTTTTTTCGATAGAACACTGAGAAGATGGAGTTGATCTGAGAAAGGCGATGTATTTGCAATCTACATTTCGAACAATCTAGTCACACATATACTTGTCAGACCATTTTATATTATTATTAATATGCCTTGACAAGTATCTGTGTGACCAGATTGTTCGAAATGTATAGTGCAAATACATCGCCTTTCTCAGATCAACTCCGTCTTCTCATTGTTCTATCGAAATTTATAAAAGGGACCAATTGCTTTAGATAAGTTTTTCCTTTGAAACTATGATGAAGCGACTATCCAGTGCTCAATTGTTTATCATGGTTTCCTCAATAATGTTGCGTCATGATGGAGATCACTCTCGAACTAATCTTATGCTGTGTGTAATCAGTAATAAAAGGACAAGACAAACATGATACTAGTCACCAACCAATTGTTAGTATTTGAGTTCTACAATGGAGTAGTTGCAACCCAAATAGCTTAGTGGCAACGTTTCGAACGATGAAGTTGGGTGACACTTGTTTGGATACCGAAGGAGGCATCAGTTCTTTCGCGATTGGAGACCTACCATGTTGACGAGCACCAACTATCAGGAAACCTAGTTAGACGGTTTCCTGTCGACTATCTTCAAACACCTAACTTCTCGAAATAACATTTACTTATTAAAAGTACAATTGGTCACATACTTAACAAGTCCTATATTTATTCTAAAATAATTCCTTAATACTACATTGTTCAAATACTAAAAATTTTTAATAAAAATAAAGTTAATGCTTACCAACGATCTGATTGAGAAATATCACGAGTGGAAATATCCAACAGTTTTAACTTGGGATAAATTTCAACAAAATCTCTAGGATAAATTATTGGTTGGTCAAGAATTGCAGTGATCAAAGTAAACAAATGCATGGTATAAGCAAAGCATGTGGGCGATGTAAATGTTTCAATTCCATAGTTTATATAATGAATTGGATTATTATTATTATCATTAGACAATTCTATGTCATCCAATGGAACTGAAAAATGCTCATTTATATGAACGTAATCATTGGAAAACTTATCCATGAATTTATCATTCTTTGCTGTTACTGAATTCTGGAACAAAGTAAAACACAGATCAGAAACAAATTAATCGCTGATTGGGTCATTTACTTTATCCATTTATCAAATTTCAACTAACAATAATTGACTAGTAAGGACTGTGCAATTGGAAGACTATATTGTGCCACAAACTAATAATTAAAAGTCAAGCAACACAAATCTTGATCTTTGATTTTATACAATTGATTTTAAATTTAACAATAGTTAAATAATAAATCCATTAGAAATTGGATATTTATGTTTTGTCATTTTGTTTCCAATATTTGTTGCCCTTTGTAAATATCATTTAAAATTTATGTGGAAAGAGAACAGTTTGATATAACTTTTTGTATAGGAAAAAGATGTAATGGCCCGTTCGCATGCTAAGCGAGCGAGAGCCATAACAAAGCAATTTTGACACGTATGGAAGATGGCTGGGAAGCCAACTCCAACCTAATTAAGCGTTACTCAGTATTTATAGGCAGACAAAATAAACTACAGACCTGTGATGAATTATGGGATATGAAGTGTACACACATATACGCTCATGTGAAAACAGTCAAGGCTAATAAGCGAATAATTGACAAGGTCAAAATATGGCTCAAGTAAAATGAATAAAATAGGATGTCCGGAAGTTAGAATAAAGGTATATGGGCTTGCCATAATGACTGACACTACAAAGGTACTAAAACTCCCTTTGCTAGTGAGTACACCAAGTTGGTACACTAAAATTTTAAACAAATATGCTTTCAATTGATTGGTCGCTGAGTATTAATAAATGTGATGTTTATCTAGTCGTTGTAGTGATCAGTACTCAATGATCAATCAGTTGTAACTATTTTATTCCCACTGGAGGTCAGTCTCAGTCCAAATGACTCAGTAGTAACATCTCAGATCATGAAGCCGAGTGACATGTGATTGAATCATCAAGAGAGTATTAATTCCATCAAGATCGCAGACACACCTTGCTGAAGAGTGCCGAAAAGCACGAAATCCAGGTCTAGGATATCCTAACGACTGTATCCAACCACTTAACAAGTATATACTTCGTAAATATACGCATTAATGTACATATATATTCTTTTATTCCAAGACTTCGTGATTATTGGGTTTCGTTAGGACGGAATATAAACGCAAGACTACTTTTCAGATTAGTGTGAATTTTGTTCAGTATGAAGTTCGTTTTATTTCACTGTAAGATTTTGTTCAACATATTATTCAATTTATAACAGTTTAGGAAGTATGCATTAGTAGTACGATCTTTCCGAGCAACAGTAATACTACTAGCTAAAAAATACTTTTCTTATCTAATAAAATAAAATATTCATATGCTGTTTTATCCCGATAAGAATAATGAATAGTAATTTTTGGGATCCATTTGTAGTGACCTACTTTTACCAAGAGAACGCGATTGATTTAATTGAAACAATTATTATAACCAATTGTACCAGTAATTGTTTTACTGTGCTCGTTTGTTTAACTGTGCTAAAGACAGCCATATTACTACTCCATTGATTGCGACCTTGCACGGGTTCGGTTACGCTCGGTAACCACGCTTGTACTCATTTGGCACGATCTCGGTATCCTTTCGATACCACGAGATCGCCAACCAATACATCTCGACTGCAGCCATCAACTGCCTTCTGATATTTGGCTTACGGGGGACCCTATCAGTTAACTGGCACGTAGTCTTCTTGTAGTGGTGTTCATAGTCAACCGCGACTCGACTCCACGCTTCACATTTATGGGCCAATACTATGAGTATATTTTTATCGTGTAATTGTTATGTAACCAAACTGTTCATATTCATGACCCTCTTATTATGAGGTTTATTTCAACCTATGAACTGTTGTTATACGATTTACCATTCTTGAGTTATGGTCTGTCTGTTAATCACCACCTCCCTCATTTACAGCCACTTCTGGCTAAATATTGTACAAATGTTATTTTCTATTTTATGGTACGTTGTGGTCTGTTTGATTGGTGTATAAACCCTGTATGTTTGAAATAAATGATTTATATTGCAAAAGTTGAGATTTTTGTTCTGTACTCAACTGGCTGGGCTAGGCGGAAAGCGAGACCAATAAGGACTCCAGGTTGCTCGTACGTGTTTTGTACGTCACTGGTTCGATCGATAATTCGCTGCTCTCTGATCGGCGGTATCGTTGCGATATACAATAAACGGGGCACACAGGTCCACAAGTTATAACATATGCTAAATACTAAACACAGAAATTAACATGATTATAAGTTAGTTAAAAGGTGGGTGAATGTTAGATTCGAATTTCGTAGGTCGATTAACAAGTGTTAATAAACTAAAAGCTGACTATCAAGCTTAATTCGTGACCCCAGATATATCAAAGTTGTCTTTCAGTCATATTTTTAAATATTAGAACAAATGCATTTCGCCCAAGTTTTTAAACAATTATTTTGTCGAAATGATTTTTAAAGATAGATTTCTCTCTACATTTCATTTAAGTCATATTGTATGATAGTAGGAGTTTCAATTGATGGAATGGTGTTATGAAAACTTTCAATTATATGTTAAGTAGTTTGTTACTTGTTGAAGTGGAGAATTTTATATATGCGTAAGTAAGTTTTCCATGAACTTGTGTCGTCTGCTTATTTGGATCGTTTATCCAACAACCGTTATGTTGAACAGTCTAGTTGACTAGCAATACTCTTCTTGTGATAAAGAAATAAGATACACGTGGCTAGAGGCAATGGTAAAATATTTTATGATTTCTTTAACTTGTAGCGTGGTGTCGAGTTGAGGGTACTTATGAACACCGCTACAAAGAAACACGTTCCAAGTAGATCAGAAGGCGTAGGTTGAACGTAACCAAATAAATCCATAAAATCCCCGAGAAGCCAAATATCAGAAGGCAATTAATGGACTAAATCGAGATATATTCGCTGGCGATCTCGTGGTATCGAAAGGATACCGAGATCGTGCCAGGGTACAACCCTGGTTACAGAACGTAACCGAACTCGCGCGAAGTCACAATCAAGGTGTAAGTATATGAATGGAAGCACAATATAGCTGTCATTAGCACAGTCAAACAAAAGCACATTAAAACAAGCACTGGTACAGTTGGTTATAATAATAATTGTTTTTATTAAACCAGTCGTGTTCTCGTGATAAATGTGAGTCACTACAAACTAATCACTGATGGTTTATTTACACCGACTTCAAGAGTAGTTTCTATTTCATTCAACTCATTTACCATGTATACGGATTTGTACACCAGGGTTCGAGCCACATTATATGTATAAGAGCTAGTTATATTAGTCGGTCCCTCAAACACGATTAGTTGGGGCGGAGTTCGCACCTGAGATTTAGTGACTAGAAGTCAAACCCCTTAACATTTGCATCACTACACCACCTTCAGAAGTAAAAGATGGAATAAATTACCTAAGAATCAATAGTCTCAATTCCGATTTATATAAGTGTGTTTTTCATAACATATCCAGTTTATTTTTTAAGATGGTCATTCGTGACTGCTGAAAAGCTATATTAGAGGACAATAAACAAAATTACCAACTAAGCACAAACTATGTGGTATCAGCGAGATGTGAGAAACCTCATCAATGAATCAGTATGACTATTACCAGTTCACTAAGATAAACGTTACATCTGTTGAAAGTAGACACAAGAATACTAAACACATTTGATCGAAGGAGTTTGTCAGATGCTTTCCTTAGAAATGTGAGGGAATATTGTGGTGTTTGAATGAACTAATGATACATTTGTACTTGTTGGATGCTTGATTTCGAATTCCAAATACAGTACATTTGTTTGTGGTTATATAGTACTTCTTGATCAAATTGTGTTATTTCTGGGATTCTTAGTTCCTACTATAATTCAAATACTTCTAATTATCATATTGGCCGCATTATTGAACTTGTGATGGAACAGTTGGACATATATCCAGATTTTTATGCTTTCCAGGATTACTTTGAAAGGTGTAGTGACTCACGTTTATCACGAGAACACGACTGGTTTAATAAAAACAATTATTATTATAACCTACTGTACCAGTGTTTGTTTTAACGTGCTTTTGTTTGACTGTGCTAATGACAGCTATTTTGTGCTTCCATTCTTTCGCTTACACTTCGATTGTAACTTCGCGCGATTTCGGTTACGTTCTGTAACCAGGGTTGTATCCTGGCTCGATCTCGGTATCCTTTCGATGCCACGAGATCGCCAGCTAATAAACCCCGACTTGGTCCATTAACTGTCTTCTGATATTTGGCTTCTCGGGGATTTTATGGAGTCATTTGGGACGAGCTTCTTACGCCTTCTGATTTATTTGGCACGTGTTTCTTGGTAGCGGTGTTCATAGTTAATCTCAACTCGACGCCACGCTACAAAGGTTTGAAATCTGGGCTTTGACTAGGGAAGATGATGAGGATAATAATATTGTAGCACATTTCCTCACATTCATCGGAAAAGAAGCTTACAGCTTAATAAAACTCTGGCTTTACCGGAAAAGCCCATTTCCCTTTCTTATACAACTCTCAAGGTACTACTGCTAGACTATGTTCAGTATACAAAGTTCGAATGTGGTAAAGGTGGAAGATTTCGTAAAACGATTCATGAGGATATAAAAAAATCCGCTACATTGTCACTCCAATCCAGTGCATACTCAAGGTTATGCAGATAAATCATTGAGGAGTTGCGATGTCTTTCACGAAGATGGGCACAAGTTTGGTCAATGTTTGTCTGTGGCAGGTTCCACTCTTTTAATTCACGTAAATTTCGTAATTCAGAGTGCTTTAAATGTTGTAATATTGGACATATTCAGTAAGTTTGCAATACTACCGTACATCTTGATGAAACTAATATTAAGTCTTGTAATTCTGATTCTGTTAAGTCCAGTGTTTCTAATGATCATTTATCCTTATCAACGATTTCAAAAGACGGTGTAGAGTCATGTCGCATTTCGGAATTAAGTGAAACTCAGAATCCTTGTGAGATAACAGTTTCTAATCAATCAACATGTCATATTTCTCATGTTACTGTGCCAGATATGGTTTTTTCCAAATGACTCACTTATTTCTGACAAAATTCCTTGCAA